CGTTTGAACTCCACCGTCTCATTTCCATGGACCTCCGCAGGACCTTTAAAAAAGCACGTACGTCCCCTCGGTTCCTGGAGCCCTTTCAAAGACTCCAGGGAAACCACAAAGTGCCTTTTCTTCCCTGAGAGAACTAGGTTTTTTCCCCCTTCCCCGACCCGATGCAGAATTAAGTGTGTTTGGAAACCCACCCTGCCGTGGGACACACACATACACACCCACACCCACACCCACACCCCCGGGGCAGGCCGCTGGGGCAGAGCCACGCGGAGATACCGGGTTAAAAAGGGCTTTAAGGCTTCCAGTCTGCTGTTCGAAATCGTCCTGTGTCTGTGGGCATCCGGAGCACCCCAGAGGGGATGAGAAGGGAAGTGGGTGGGTTACAGCCAACTCTGCAAAGGCTGAGTTTCATCTGCTCAGTGATTTGGGGGCTGCAGTTCCCCAAACTACCTTTTTCACCCCTTTCTGTCCCCATCTCTCTTGGGGACAGGCACGAGGCATACCTGGCCCTGGTGCAGTGAGGGCGAAGAGCAGCTCTGGGGCCACTCTGCACCCAAAGTCCTTGGCAAACCTCCCATGGGGCATGCAGGCATTAGGAAGAGGAAAGAGGGAAAAAGAAGCAGCGCTGTAAAGTGTGTAAACACAAGGGACATGCCGAGCCCATCTCACACTCAGCTGAGCAGGGCGCTCCCTGCAGAGCTCAGCTTGAGAGGGGAGCTGGCAGTTGGTGTGGGACAGCCCTGCCACTGCCTCCCAAAATGCCTCCCCCCACCTCCAGGGTAGTAGGAAGGAAAAAACATTCGACTTTCTTCTTCTGTCATTGCACAACTGTCCGATAGAAATGTTCTCTTCGTGATGTTCCAGATCCCCCGCAGACTCTGGAAGAGAATTTCCAGCATCCAAGCGTGCAGCCCTGGGAGAAAGCAGACAAAGCTCAGCGTCTACAAAATGTAGCAGCCTAATTCTTCTTTTGGCTCTTACCTTGCCTAGAAAAAGCTGAATAAACAAACAGAAACCAGGCGGGATCCAGGGAAAGGCCCGTTATTAAAGTCAATCACTGGGCGGCTGTTTCTGATTTGAGGAAGGGAATGACCGGAGCTTTGTGGCAGAAGCTGGGATGGCTTGTGGGGCGATCAGCAGAGTCAACACGGGTTTCCCACTCAAGATACTTGGGACTGTGGGAGGCCTTGGAAGATGTGTGCGTTTATCCTCGCCTGGACAAGAAGGGCAGCAGGTGCCAGTGCAGGGCTCAGTGAGCCCCTGTCAACAGGCAGTTCTGGTGAAAGCCTCCATCCATTAACAGCTTGCCATAAGGAACGAGGTTCACAAACAAGCTGCAGGTGTAGCTATTGTTTTTCCGGCTCTGGGCTATTGACATGAGCAATAATCTCAAATGAATCTTTAATCGGATGATGAACTGATAGTGTGGGGCTGGGGAGGTGTTAGTCTTTCCACGGAGACAAAGAGCGTGGCAAATGCGGAGAGAGGGAGCCCAGAAGACCAGGGGAAGGGACACAAGGCTGGAGGATTAAAATAAAGTTGATTT